TTTTAGAAGAAAAAACACGGGAAAAAAAAAAAAAAAAAAAAACAGATAATTGTGTGTTTTTAATACAAGAGAAACATATTATGGTCCATCTCTCTCTCTCTCCCTCTCTTTCTCTCTTTCTTAATTTTGAATTGCATCTTTGATAATATAAAAGAAAAAAGGAATGTGGTGAACTCTTGGGATACCGGCTCAAAGGAAAAGGGAATATTTACCATTTTATACTCTGTTTTAGATTTATTCAAAAATTATAGTTTTGATTTTTGATTTTAACCTTCAAATTAGATTTAATACATAAATTTATATCTTTTTACGGTCAACGTGTGATTTTAATCTTGAAAATACTTAAAATACTCTGGAATAAAAATGGTAAATGAAAAAAAATTATTAAAAAAATTAAACTTACAATTTTGACCTTAAAATATGCAAAATACTCTTGAAAAATATTTTTTTTGTGTTTTTTATTCTTATTTTTGTAATATTAGAAAGTTTTTTAGTTTTTTTTTCTTTTCTAACAATAGTTTAGTAGGTTAAAAATTAATTAATGACTGAGATAAGATAATAGATATATATATTAAATGCAATTTAAAGTTATATATCTAATGAGGTAAAAAATTGAAAATATAATATATGGTATAAAAATATAAATATCTCAATTAAAATTTGAGGAAAAAGGCGAATAGAGTTTACCCGTTGTTTTATTTTTGGGCTCACTCTCTCTTCTTTTCTCTCACTTTCTGACAGTGGAATGAATCATAACAAGAAAACCAAATCAAGCAAATGACGTGTGATATTTAGCAAAAAGGTGGAAGAAAAAGTGTGATACATGTGATCCGCCTAATACATCCAAATTTCTTCTTATGATTAGTTTTTTTTCCCTTATTCTTAAATACTTCTTTTCTTATTCTTTGTTTGCTCTTGTACATCGCAGTTATTAACTTCCCTATTATCTTTATTTATTTTTTTATTTTTACTTCTTTTATCATGATCCAATAAATATAGTTCGATATAAAGTTATCTTGCGAACCATTGAAAAGAAAATGAAATATTTCTTCTACAACAAAAAAAGAAATCAAAAAAATCGATCACGTGACAATATTATTCTAATAAATACAAACATGAAAAATTGTTTTCCGCGTCTTATTAAATTAGATTGAAATGAATTTGCATAGGTCAAATCAAACATTATAAACTTACCACAAAAAATGTAAATAATATAAACAACACTTTTTTTATTTTTTAATTACCTTGGTTTGTATTGGGCATCTGTAGAACACTACTAGATACATTCCTCTCATGACTCATATACATATAAACGTATCTAATTCTTCTCTTTTTAAATATGCATTCCTATTATGTCACATAAGGATAAGAGCATTTATTTATTTTTTCTATTACATTACATAAGAGTATCTTTTTTCCCCCCTCTCTATATATATTTCTATTATGTTGGTTAAGAATATCTATTTTCTTTTTGCCCCTATAGTTACATAAGAATATCTATATAGATTCACTTTTATTATGTTACATGAAAATACAAATTCTTCTCCCCTATAGATACATTCCTATCATGTTACATGAGAGTATCTATTCCCCCCTAAATATACATTCCTATATATTCCATAGGAATATCTATTTTTTCTCCCCTGAGAATACATACCTATTATGTCATATAAGATTTTTTATTTATAGAATTTTTCATGCAAGATAAAAGTATCTATTTTTTCCCCTGAAGGTAGTAGTAAGATTCATTCTTACTATGTCACATATAAGTAAATAATATATATATAGATATATATATACACACCCAATTTTAAGAAATAAAAGAGTAATCTAATTTATTTATGGGGATTATTAACTTTTTATTTTAAAAGTGAGAGCGGACCAGAAAACAAAGTGCAAATGGGGTGGAGCGCGTCCAAGAGGACGAGATGGAGTAAAAAGCAAGCCCCAACCAACTGGAAAAGAAATCCGACAAAACCAATCATTGGTCCCATAAATTAACCTACTATTAAATCATAAAAGAAAAAAGAAAAATATTTATGGACAATTTATTTTGAAATCAGATGCGGCAGGCCACATGCCAAGTCCAAGTGACCGTTATTAGGACAAAGTAAAAATGGCATATGGCTAAAAAAAACAAAAAAAAACAAAAAAAGTCATCATCCAACGGTCATATTTCACTAGCCGTTACGTTTGAAAAAAGGCCAACAAATACCCTCTCACTATTTGTTTTCTGAGCTTCTTAGATCAGAAGAAGAAGAAGAAGAAGAAGAGCTTCCTTTATTTCTACTCTCTCCTTAAATTTTTCTTTCTACTCCAGATGAATTAAGGCTCTTCTTGTTCTTCATCGTCACATTCAAATACCCACTTCGGGTTTAGTTCAAAGAGAGGAAAAAAATGGTTCTTTCTGACCAGAACAGCCAGAATCTGATCAGATCCACAAGCTTTCAAGGTGGGTTCCGCCGTTTGATTTGATCAAACTTTGATTTTAACTTAAAACATGAAGTGAAAATGGTGTGTGAAGTCTTATAATATTCTGACTTGGGTTTTTTTTTTTTTTTTTGGTGAAAAAATTGTGTAGAACATGTGAAGTTTGGGCAGGAGATTAGGCAAAACAGGAGGGCATTAGCGGCCATTAATCAGAGTTTAGTGGGAGGTCAACCATACCCTTGTGTTGTTAACAAGAGAGCCTTCTCTGAGTAATTTTTTTTAATAAATTTTTCTCATTTTCTTTTCTCCTGTATTTTTATTTTCTGGTTTTGTTTCTTAATTTTTTAGTATTATCTCTTTCTGAAATTGGGGGTTTTTTTTTTCTTTGTTTTTGAATTTTGCTTGCTTCTTCAGAAATCAGGAAATTAGTGAAAAGAAGCAGGCAGGTCCAGCTCATAGACCAATTACCAGGTTAGATTTTTCACCCAATTCTTTTATTTTTTTTTCCTCTATTGTTTGTTTGCCAATCTAAACTTTTATAGGACATTTAGTTTATGGGTTTAGAATCATGATTGACTCTGATTTTTGAAATTTAAATTTTTTATAAGAGAAAAATACTGTAGAGAATCAAAAACTATGATTCAGAATCAAGAACGAACCCTTAAAACAAACATCCCACGAATATAAGAGACTTGACTTGATATCAACATTGATCATACTTACTCATTTCAAGAACATGAAAGCACTGAAATTCATGTTTAATGGTTCTCACCTTCCTTTTGTCTGTTGTTTGTCTGCCAAAACATTAAAAGAGGAAGAAATCAAAATTTCAAAACGTGAATCAAACTTAGATGTAAAATTCAGGTTAATTTGAAATTTTGCGTCTATCTTTTTAATAGGAGGTTTGCTGCACAAATTTCAAGCACAAAACAATCTTGCCTTGAGGTGACTATTTCTCTCTCTCTCTCTCTCTGTCTCTCTCTCTCTCTCTCTCTAGCGCTCTCTAAAATTGCTTCGTGATTGGCATATAAAGACATATGCAAATGTTAGTGACTAATGGTGAAAGTCCACCCAGGAAACAAAAAAGAAGACAACTAATTCATCATCAGTCTCAAACCCAAATGTATTTGGTGAGAGCATTTTCATAGATGAGGAATGCAAGTCCCCTCAAGATCAGCCAGTTCCCATGTTCTTGGAACAACCAGAAGAAACCCATCATATGGTTGGTATCTCTTAATTTCTTAAGACTTAGATTTACTAGACTGGATTTTGTTGTTGGGAAATCCCATTTAAGTGACATTCTCATATCTGTTTAGGAGGAGGTTGAAATGGAGGATATAGCTCTAGAAGAGCCCATTGCGGATATTGATAGCTGCGACACAAAGAACCCGCTTGCCGTTGTTGATTATGTTGAGGATCTTTATGCTTTCTATAGGAAAATGGAGGTAAATCCCATGGTTCAAATAAGTCCTTTGTTCTATTCCTATTAATTGTACAAGGAGTTGAAATTTATTAGCTCAAATTGGTATTTTGCTTAAAAGAAAGTCTTTTTTTAAGGGGTTCGGGATTTGAACTCTAGACCTTGGAATATTATTAAGTTTGTTGCGATATTTTACTGCTACACTAAGCATAAAAGGATGTCTTTCACTATGGCTTCATTTGAAATAAATCATTTGTCCTTTTTTTTTTCTTTTGAATGGTTAGGGATTTCGAACTCTAGACCTTAGAACATTAGCATAAAAGAATGCTTGATTTGACAAAATCTTTTTTCCTATGCAGGGGCCAAGCTGTGTTTCACCCAATTACATGGCACAACAATATGACATTAATGAGAAGATGAGGGCTATATTAATTGACTGGCTTATTGAGGTATACTAATTTTCCTAAAATGGTAATTGGGTTAAAATAAATTCGACATCGAAAAATGCCTGTGACGCGGAGTACACAGACTGTTCTTTTTAATCCGCTTTTCTTCAATCAAAACAGGTGCATGACAAGTTTGCGCTCATGAAAGAAACATTGTTTCTGACTGTTAATCTGATAGATAGATTTTTATCTAAGCAAACAGTAGTAAGAAAGAAACTTCAGTTGGTTGGACTTGTTTCCATGCTTTTGGCATGCAAATACGAGGAAGTTTCTGTTCCTGTTGTAGGTGATTTGATTGTCATATCAGACAAGGCTTACACAAGGGAACAAGTTCTTGAAATGGTAAATTTCTTCTTCTGTTTTGCTTCTTATTATCCTAGTTGGGCACATAAATTAATTGATTAGCAAAGTTAAAATTTACACATTAATTTGACTTTCATTTCTGCAAAACTAAATCCTACAGGAGAATTTGATGCTCAACACATTGCAGTTCAACATGTCAGTTCCAACACCTTATGTCTTTATGAGAAGGTTCCTCAAGGCTGCTCAATCTGACAAAAAGGTCAGTTTTTCAACATCTTATAAAATTAGTTACATTTCAATTGAAGTGGAAGTAGTCGACTAGACATCTTTCAGTAACTTCAAATAAACATCTATTATCAATAATATTTGTTCATTTTGACTATATGATTATAGTAACATCTTGCTATAATAACCTATGATCTCAAAACAGCTTGAAGTACTATCCTTCTTCTTGATCGAGCTTTCGCTGGTGGAGCATGAGATGCTCAAGTTTCTGCCATCTTTGTTGGCTGCCGCAGCAATCTACACCGCTCAATGTACTCTTTACGGGTTAAAGCAGTGGAGTAGGACCTGTGAATGGCACACAAACTACTCAGAAGACCAGCTCCTGTGAGTATATTCATTCTTCTCATCATCCAATTTTACTAAAAACAATTTTACCAATGAAACGCAGTAAGCTCATGAAATCATAAGAACTTTGTAGTGATGATGCGTGTTTCCGTTGTGCGAATCATTCGCAGAGAATGCTCGAGATTGATGGTGGGGTTCCATCAGAAGGCAGCAACAGGAAGACTAACAGGAGTACATAGGAAGTATTCAACATCTAAGTTTGCATACACTTCAAAATGTGAACCGGCAAACTTTCTATTGCAGACTCAGCTATAGCTATAGCAGCAGCCCATGTATAGCTATATATAGTAGCTACACACTAACAATAACCAACCAACCAACCAACCGTGATAACTGTTTGATTCTGATTGTGATGATCTGGGTTGGTGGGGATTGGAATTTAAATATGCACATAATAATTCAGCAACTTGGGGGAAATTAAATTGGTATATTATTATTCTATCGAGATATTTCTATTCTAATGTACCCGGTTGTTAATTGCTCTACAGCCATATTATATTGTATTTTTGTTCTATGTTCCAATTGATCATAATACTCATTGTTTGTAGTTTTATTGTTCACTTTGGACAATAATGTGACAATTATACACACCACAAGACGGTTTTTTGTTTTATGTTTTGGCAGACTTTTATTATTAGAGACGCCTTCTCCTTCTTTGTTTCATCTAGTTTGCACTTGCTTACACATAACTGGCACTTGCTTACACAATTGGCACTTGATTACACATAACTTTTCTTTTTTCATTTTCGAGTATTAAGGCAACACAACATAAAATATTGAAGAAAATATTGAAAATTCTGAGCTACGAAAAAAAAAGTATATATATCTTGATCTTGATCTTCATGTCTTTATAATTAGTAAACTTTTTTTTCCTCTTTTTGTCTTTTTTTGTTTTTTACTCAACTACATTTGTTTGCTTTTCATCGTCCTCCACAAGTAGCCAACATAAAACTTTAAGATTGATAATTTTACCCGTTAACTCATTTATTTCATGGGCACCGTCTTAAACAAGACAAAGAAAAACTTATTTAAATGGATGCAAGCGATAAACAACATTTTTTTTCCTTTTTGTCATTTTTTTTACTCGGCTATATTTATTGCTTTTTACTGTCTTTGTATTCATACTTAACTAACATCTATAACTTTGGGATGACCATTTTATCCTTTAACTCATTTACTTGCAGGGACTCGCCTTAAACGAGATAACAAAATTTTAACTCGTTGTGGGACACATACAAGAACGAGTTTAGAAATCCTCGACCTTATTCCCTGTTTTTCTGCCCCATTTAATTATATCATATTGTTAAACTATAAATATTTTATATAATATATTATAATATATATGTTAATTTATCAAACAATCCCAAAAGCTTAAGTTATTAGGAGGTGGGCTAACAATAGTGTTATACTTTAATACTCTCCTTCACGTGTGGACTGGATAATAGTCAATCGTGTAAATAAATTAATAAGCCCAACACGTGAATATATTTAAGTCTAAGATATATTAAAAACTCAACATATGATGACAATTTAAATGAGAATAAAGAGTGCAATTACAAGAGTTTAAACTCATAATCTCCTTCTCTGATACTATGAAATCAGAATGAATTTCTGTATTTTTTGAAAAAAAAAAATGTGTACAATCTGTTAGCCCTATTTATCGTACAAGGGAAAAACAAAAAAAGAAACTAATCTCCTAAATTGAGAGCTAATTAAGGACTGTGAATCAGCCAGCTCATCTATAACAATCATCACCTAATTTACAATAAATCACTATAATTTATGCCACTAATTACACTAGGTCAGCCGTGACTCCATCAATATATTATATATTATAATATATAATTTTAAATATGATATATTACATAATATAAATGACAATTCAAAACTATTTCTTCATGTTCTGTATCCTTGTGTTGATTACTTAATTAATATTTATCTGACTACGAAATACTAATTATGTAAATGGCCTTATGAAAATTTATTTTAAAAATTATATAAACTATGTAGATGTAAGAAACAGAGTCGTGTGTGATTTATTTTTAAATTTGTTATTATGTATTTATTATTTAATTAATCGCTTATATTTAATCACTTCAACTAAAATAAACTTAAAAAAAAAAATGAATGGACATAAATGCAAGTGCTTTACAAGTGCAATTTTTGCTAGTACACTAATGAAATGGAGCGCAAAAAAATGCAAGCGCGTTAAACGACGTCGTTCAAACAAAACAATAAAGTTATTTGCCCTGAAAAGTCAACGTTTCACCAACCAAACCAACCGCATCGAAAACAGACAACTTGGAATATTTGATTTTTTTCCCTTTTTGAAAATGGAATATCTGATTTTTTTTTTCTTTCTTTTTCTTCATTTTCGTATGTCCAAGTAGATTCAGATCTTTTGTCACCAGACCCTTTTTTTATTTTATTTATTTATTAAACAAGCCAAATCGTCTAAAACTTGATCAGATACACAACGTAGAATCATATTAGTTCCAATGAAATTAAAAGATGAATGAAAAGCCAAAGCTGTAGGGGATCGAATAGCACTTCCAGCTAGTAGAGGTGGACAATAACCTGAGAATATCGCCAATGATTAATCCTTGTTCCGCGAGCGAGGATCCGCAATTAACCACCTGAGCACCCGTTGCATCAACTTCAAACTCATTAATATGTACACAACATTGTTGGGCGAATAACAATCCTTCACGCTTAGCAACACATTCCCGCTAGGAAAACTGAGAAAGAGCCTGGAAACTTCTTTGCCATACATGCCAAAACAATCCTCGAATTGCTGTGCGATCCGCAGCTGCAATGTTGCTCCGCTTGGTGGCGCATTTTGAAGAGTATCAATATGTTCTTGTAACTGCTTCACTCTTCTAGGCATGTACCTAAATCGGCATGGGTTCCACCCCTTGAGATCCCTTGCACACCGCTGCAGATAATGATTAAATTTTGCCCCCTCCTCGTACATATGCTCCTTCCCACGCGCTTTATATTCATTTGTCATCCACATTGGTTCAAACAAGAACCGTTTACGTTTTCTTAGATCCTCAACGGCCACCGCGCTGCGGATCGCACACCAATTCCAACCATAGTGTGCTGTATAGTCGGAACCATAAAAACCAAGATGCTTGATGCTATAGTTTGGGAACATTTGAATCCAGCTCTCACTATAACAGCCGATCCAAACGTTTCCGAACGTTGTCACCGTCGTCTTAGCCATTGTCCCACGTGAGCTTTGGTCCCTTAAAGCGCAAATCAATTAGATTACACGGATCCACCACTTCCCGAAAGTGATTCATACTAGCATATCTCCTATCACTTCTACCTTCTCTTTCTGTCATGAAAAAAACTTCGCTGAAATCGCCTGCTACAATCCATGGAAGATCAAATAAATCTTTTAATCGCGACGAAAGAGTCCATGAATGGTGTCTCTCACTATGTAACACCCACTTTTCTAACTGACAAAATTCCTAAAAATAGACGTTAGGAATTAACTTGAATATTGTAATGGTGTTATATTTAGTGAATTCTAACATCATATTGAATTTAATTCCGCAAGTGATCGCGACGAGGACTCGAGGTGCTAAGAACAAGTTCATGCCATTATATGAAAATTTTATGTGATTTCATATTTATTCTTATGATTTAATGAATTTGTATAATGTTATGATTTGATAATATGTTTCTTTTTATATGACATATGTACATGATTTATTTTGTGTGTTACTTTGTGGTTTATATGATATGTGATATAGTATTTTAATAGGAGTTAAGAAAGTAAATAAATATAAATTTATACAGTTTGATGTGCCATTGATTATACCCACAAATATCACCATTAGTCCTATATTATACTAGGAACAAATCACAATTACTACCTATGCTCTGGCCAAATTACAATAGGAAGTCTATCCTCATAAAGATACAGTGGAAAAAAAAAGGGTCAGGTTCACGACTATACGTTCTCTTGCCTATTATATACCTTAGTTATGCACATAGTCAAAGGAAGGGGCGAGTAATCATCGTGCAATATGTTCTAGGATTCATTTTTTCAATGACAGCCGTAGTCCCCAATGCACGCCTGTAATATTCAAGAAGATTCTAAAAATAGTTTGGAATTATTGCTCATGATTTTCTTACGTGTTAACAAAAAAAAAATCGATATATTTGTAGAACCCTCATTCTATATCCTCTCAGTTGCCTTGACATATTTTCTTCTCTCTCTCCCTTCCTCTTTTCTCACGTTCCTGAAAATCACAAGAGAACCTCCATAATCAGCCATCAAGCTCATCTCTTAATCTTTCTTTTGAATTCTCCTAGCAATCAAGATAAAGGAAATCATTAAGGTATGATTCCTCTTATTATTTATTCTTATGGTTTTGAATTCTTTAAGGGTACGGAATTTGATTGTCAATAATGGCTTTTGTTTGAGAAGGAGGAGAGGTATGAGATGATGTTTGAATGAGGCTATACCACTGCTATGTTACTTATGGTATTACGTATATGGGTGGATGGGTGACTGTGTTTGTTTTCTTTTTAATAATTTTCATACCGCTATATTCTTATTTATTTAATTAATCATTTTCAAGTTATCGATTTTATTTAGAGGAATCATATATAGACTTGTATATATATTGTGTCAGATGCTCGGATATCTTATTTCATTGGCCTTATTGCACCCTAGTTTAAGAAGTCAAAAATTTTGGACGTGTCTAGGAGTGATTACATGCATACTTCTATGTTTCTGTGTAATAGAAATATGTCATAAGGTTGAATAATAGATGGAGTGTTGTTTATACATGTTGAGGATGATGGTTTTGTATTTTATAGAATTTTTAGTGAATTTTCGTCCTAGTTTGAGTGCTGGAATTTCTCCAGGTTTCATGTCTGATTTTAAAATAGGGTTTCAGGAAGCAAACGAACTCCGTTTTTAACAAATTAGATACCGTTGGAAAGCTCTAGATGTCTAATTTAATATGAAATTAGTTTCAGGTCATTTGGAGTTATATGTGAACTGTTATGAGTTTTTAAAGGAGTAAAGGTTAGGCTGCCAGTTTTTGTTAAGTTTTGTGATTTTGTGTAATCAGTGGGTTTTTATATCTTGATATTAATGAATAGTGAGAATTGTATATTAAACATTGTTTTAACGTGATCAATATATTTGATTAGTTGTTAAGACTTTTTAGTAATCTTATTTATGATTTATAGCATGAACGGTTCTAGAGGCGAGCACCCGAGGACCTCATTCGTCGCGTCACGGTTGCAAAATTTAAAAAGATTAAGTAAGGCGCTCAAGTAAGTACACTCTCACCTGCAACATGAATTGAAGAATTGAGAAGTATATGATTTTGATGTTTATGATGATGTTATGACATTTTTAATAATCCTCTTATGATGACGTTTTAAAAAAAATGTATATATGTATTTTTATGTTTTTAAATGGCGTTGTACACCCTTGATGTGACCGGTGAGCAGTCTTATTGCCACGGTTGGTATGAGATTTGCTACCCCATGCTTTCCGTGGCTAGCGCGCTATGATGGTACAACGTCGGGCCCAATATATGATGGATTTTAAAGTTTAAACATGTTCAAAAATAATTATTCTCATGATGATGTTTATTGTTGATGAATAAAAATGTTCATTTAAATTTGTGAGAATTAAGTGTCTTACTAAACCCTTGCTTATATAAGTTATTTCATGTTGCAGACAATCTAAAGGGTAAGATGTAGCCATGGAGAATATTGGAGCGGATACGAGCTATGCGTGATAGGAAAACAGGAAAAACGATCATGGGATGAAAGTGCTTAATGTTAAACAAAGTTTTTACTTTTTACTTTTATTGTTTTGAAACTTTGGTTTATGGTGATTTTGATTTGAAGAATATTTTAGACTTTATAGATTTTAATAACTAAGTTGAACCGAAGGTTATTTTATTTTTCTTTGAGAAAGTTCAAAAATTTTAAAGATAATATGTTTAAAAAAAATCTAGACTTTTCTTTAAATTATTCAAAATAAAGTGTTTCAAATTTAATAATTTTTCACATTTTTTAAGAAGTAAATGTTTAAAAATTAAGATAATTATGACGGTTGGTGAGAGGTTTTGACACACTATGAGTTGGGTTTCCGTAGAAACGGGTAAAGCGCCACCATCCTTCACTAGTAAACTGTACAAAAGCATCACCGTGAAAGCAAGAGTAATTCTGGACTTGCACCTCAATATCTTCATTCCACATCAACATAATTGGCATAAAAAGCCGCTATAAAATCCCAACCTTCTTTTAACCGACTCTGCCACCTCGGCATACAATCTAGTTTCCATGAGAAAAACTAGACTAGAGGAAGTATCTCAGATTAAGAGGACGTTTAATTGGAGGATTTAAATTATGTGATTTGAATTATTTTTAATTTATGTGAATTTTTTATGAGAAAAAATACTGTAATAAACCATGAATCATGATTCAAATCAAGAAACAAATTCAGTTACCAATCATCCTCTAAGTTTCAAAATTTGTCGAATGCCAGGGGATTCACCAACCCCTGAAGATTCCAAACAGTGGCACTCATGGCGTCAAAACAAAAACAAATAAATTTTATTAGCAAATTGCCAAATTATATCAAAATTCCAACAATCTAACTCGAGAAAAGAAAAAAAAAACAAAATAGATAACATCAAAAAAACAGTCTCCATTCAAGAAAAAACGTCAAAAAACAATGTGAATTAAACAATAACGTTAATATTAAAAATCTAACCTTAATATTCCACATCAATAACTTTTTTTACCCACTCATGTAAAATAAAATAAAATAAAATGAATAAAAATAAAAATAAAAACTTTATTTCAGTTTTATATACAGATAAAGCCTCTAATTGACACCAAATTAAAATTGTACATATATATTTTTTTTTTAAATATGTATATTTTTTATAATATATATATAATATAAGAAGACATTTATAATTTATTTATATATTTAAATATATATATATATATATATATATATATGTATATGCGTGTGTGTGTGGAACTAGATTCAGATCTTTGCCACCAAACACAAACAGCTTCCTTTCTTACACTCTTCTCTCTGTTGGCCGCCATCATGTCCATGGCAATGTCATCAACCTCCTCTCCCCACTCTCTCCTTCTCCAAAACCGCCGCCTCTCCGCCGCCAAACCCTTCTTCAATACCGCCGTCTCCCTCCCCAACCGCCGGATCTCCACCTCCATCACCTGCGTAGCCCAAACCCAAACTCCCTCTCCGGCCCAAACCCAAACCCAGTCCCAAGATCGGGTCTTCAACTTCGCCGCCGGCCCCGCCACCCTGCCGGAGCGGGTCCTCCTGAAGGCCCAATCGGAGCTCTACAACTGGCGCGGATCCGGCATGAGCGTGATGGAGATGAGCCACAGAGGGAAGGACTTCCTCTCCATAATCAACAAGGCCGAATCCGACCTCCGATCTCTCCTCGGAATCCCCGATGACTACGCCGTCCTCTTCCTCCAGGGCGGCGCCACCACCCAGTTCGCCGCCATTCCCTTGAACCTCTGCACTCCCGACGATTCCATCGATTTCGTCGTCACCGGATCTTGGGGAGACAAGGCTTTCAAGGAGGCCAAGAAGTTCTGCAAACCCAATCTCATCTGGTCTGGCAAATCCGATAACTACACCAACATTCCGGCGTTCGACGATCTGGATCAGACCTCCAACGCCAGGTGTTTGCTCAAATGCGTCAATGAAACTTTTTTTTTTTTTTTCAAGCTCTTATTGTTTCATGTTTTTGCGTAGATTTCAAATTTAAGAAAAAATAACCAAAGTTTACATTTTGTTTTTGTTAAAACCAAAAATATTTGTCCTGTCCTAAGTTAGAGTTTGGTTCTCCTTTTCATTATAATTTTGCTGCTCTAAAAGTTCTAAAAAGTTTTTATTTTTTTAATTTATTGCTTAAGTTCACATAAATCGAATTGAAATGACTAAAGACAAAAAAAAAAAAAAAAAAAAAAAAAAAAAAAAAAAAAAAAAAAGAAGAAGAAAAAGAGAGTTAAAAAAGAAGAAAGTAACATAAGATTTTTAATGTTTAATAGTGTACTATTAGTTTAATTTAAGATTTAAGTTTAACTCATGCCTCGGAAAAAAACTATACATCTGGTAGGTATTTGCATATATGTGCCAACGAGACCATCCATGGCGTCGAGTTCAAGACCTTCCCCACACCCAGAAATGGCCTCCTCGCCGCCGACATGTCGTCGAATTTCTGCTCCAAACCCGTCAACGTGACTAAATTCGGTGTCATCTACGCTGGAGCGCAGAAGAATGTAGGGCCGTCCGGGGTTACCATCGTGATCATAAGGAAGGATCTGATTGGCAACGCGCAGGAGAAGACGCCGGTGATGCTCGACTACAAGATCCACTCCGACAACAACTCGCTCTACAACACGCCACCATGTTATGGGATCTACATTTGCGGTTTGGTGTTTGAGGACTTGTTGGAGCAGGGGGGTTTGGAAGAGGTGGAGAGGAAGAACAAGCACAAGGCCAATTTGCTCTACAATGCCATTGATGAGAGCAAGGGGTTCTACCGGTGCCCTGTTGAGAAGTCGGTGAGGTCGTTGATGAACGTGCCGTTCACGCTGGAGAAGTCGGAGTTGGAGGCGGAGTTTGTGAAGGAGGCTGCAAAGGAGAAGATGTTGCAGCTCAAGGGACACAGGTCAGTGGGAGGCATGAGAGCCTCTATATACAATGCCATGCCTTTGGCTGGAGTTGAAAAGTTGGTTGCTTTCATGAAGGATTTCCAAGCAAGGCATGCTTGAAGTTGAAATTCAGTAATTATCTACTATTTTTTTTTTTTTTGCTTGGTTTGCTCCTTTTTTGGGATTTTTTTTTTGGCTCTTTTTTTGAGGTTGTACTTGTTTGTCAATTGTTAGTGAGCAATAATCAAGAAGTTTAGTTCCTAGTATTTTAGTGATGGAGGGTTCAGCGAGACCCTCAATACTGCAATTGTTTGGCTCATTCCACAAAAAGGAAGGAAGGAATCATTATCAGCTTTGCAAAAACAAAATTCTTTCTGCATAAAAAGTTTTGCTCAGTATTTCACAAAATTATATATAGAGCTGTACTAACTTTGAATGGATTATGAATTTTGTTTTTTTGGTTGATTCTGTGTTAACAATTAGACGTCCTAATTCTACAGAGCAATAAAATTGTGGAAAAATTAATCAAGTAAAAGTTGTCACACCAAATCTATAGATCTCGTATCAATTTGAGAAAAATCGCATATTTTTCAGGTCTCTGTTTTTTTTATTTACTTTTCTAATTAATCTCTCCGCGGAGTCTTCTGTATAATATAATAAATAAATCACCAGAGCAATTAATTTTTTGCTGATCCATCAGGGCAATTAATGATATGGCTGATTACTTTATGAAAAGGAAAGAGGAATCACCTATTATTTGGTTGATGTCTTTTTAGTTGTTGTGATATATATATATATATATATATATATATTT